CATGGCATTAATTCAGGCAGAAATTAAAAGATCGTTGGACAATTGGTGAACATTGATTCCTGATTTGAAGAAGCAAAATGGAAGGGGAAAAAATTGATAATGCCGGAGGAAAACGAAATTCGTAAGATGAATGACATAAATCAAGTTGGCATCCCGCTGCGGGTTTCTTTGAAGTGCATTGATTGAATCTAGTGATAATTTTCCCGCTAGAAACGAGAGCGAATGTTGACGCACGTCACGCGAACGAAGAATGTGATGTCAAGAAGGGAAAGCTAAGAAAGCAAGAAAGAGAATATAGGTTCCTATTCTTGTTTTAATTTACATCGAAAAACGTATTGGATGATCCCAAACCCAAAAATGAGATTTTCTCTTCGAATTATCGCGTTGCAATGAGTGCAGAAAACAATGATTTTAATTTTCAAAAATTAAATTCCGTTTAAAGCAGATTTGCCGGATGTTCTGAGTATCTACAAAGAAATTTACGAATAAGAAAATACGCGAAGTATACTGCCTTATTTAAAACATTCTACATCAACCAAAACAGATGACCTTTGACAGTCAGCTAATGGGAGTTATTTTGGGATCTAGGAACGCTCAAGAATATTTTCTATATAAATTAATTTTATTTGCTTCTTCGTATTGCGTCATTTCGGATATCGGGGAAACTGTTGAAGTTATTTTCTAAAAGTGAATTGACGTAAAACGATCTTTCGTAAAGCGAAGGATAACTGTAATAGAAAAAAAAACATGGAAACTGAAAAAAGAAAAAGAAAAAGAAGGATGTATACATTAAGTTTAATACTTACATTTGCCAGAGATCAGTGTTCGAGTAGTGATGAAGGCTAGGATTTTGGATGTTGGCTATGTAATCAAACTGAGGCCAAAAATGTTACTATTTCTGACCATCTGCCTCATATTATTCCAAACTTTGTTAAAGTCATGAAAAAAATACACAATTCCGACGACTGTCTTGTAATATATTTCTTATTTTATGTACTGTGTCCTTAAAAGACGCGAGTGATCATGGCTCTCCACAAGTTCCTATCACTTGTTTGACTCTTTACTATCCATTTTTGTCCACACTTTCACACCTATTCACTGAAATTCATTAGGTAGGATAGTCGCTGTTTACCTTTTTCAATCTTTCTTTCAATATGTCATGTGAGTATTAAATTTTCTGAGCCTTCTGACCTCATAGTGTGTTCAAGAAAGTTCAACTCTTTCTGATTTTAATTATACGTGTTCTTTTAATTCCTATTTTCTTTAAAATTTCATCGTTACTCATATGTTCGTGGTATTCTCGGCATTTGTCTATAAAGCCACATCACAATTCTCTTTCTAATTTGTGAGGAAATTGTTCCGCATTCACTGCCATAAAGGGAATATATTAAACAGCTGTTCAGTACTCTTTTCTTTCTTTCTAACGAAGATTTACCATCTATTAATACTTTGTTTCTGGAAGGCGTTTTTACGAGTCCAATGTCCCTTTGGACCATTGTCATATTTTTCCACAGTCTGTTACAACAATACCCAGAGAGTTAAATTGCTGTACTGACTTTACTCTGATGTCTCCAGTTCGAAGATCACGCCTATGTCTGTCTTTTTGCGAACGATTACATATTCTGTCTGTTGGCTATTCCTTTCGCTTTCCTTTGATAGCTTTTATACGAGTTATTAGTGTTTTTTTTTTCTGAGTCCGTCATCAATACAGTTTCATTCGCGTAGCTTGTTATGTTTATGACTACCTATAATAGACACTTGATAACAGGATAATCTGAAACATTTATTTAATCTATACGGCAATATTGCAGATTATCTTAATATCTTTCCCAGTATATTCAGCAATTCAAATGTTTTAATTCAGTAAATAAAAATACAGCATAGCTAAACTTTCTCCACGTAAAATATTGGCGCAATACAAATGTCTTATCCACATTTTCCACTCAGTAATAGTCTTAGAAAATATTAAAAGAAAGGAAGCAAAACAAGACAATTTTTAATCGATTTCACACACAAGAAAGGCAATAAAGCCACTGAGACACCAGCGGTTATTGGTGTGGAAGAGTTAGAAACAAAAATATTGCTCAGGAGCAAGAACAAAAGAAGCATAATCAAGAGGGCAGTAGGTAGCGATTGACTTTGAATTTAAATTTTTGCAGATTAAAGTTGGCTGGAAATCATGGAGCCAGAAGAAAATATAGAAAAATGGAAAAGGAAACAAAGGTTTCGCATAGTTGAATGAAGACGACTGTTACCGTTATTTATATGTCACCGACTGCCGCTTCTTTATTGCCGAGGGTAAAGTAGTCGGCACTAAAGTAACATTAAGAGTCCACGAATTGTTAAGTTAAGAAACAGTGGCGAGAAAATCAGATTGGAAGACACGTGACAAGTAATAGGATTCCATATTTTAATACATTTTCCCTCTCTCATTCCTTCTTAGTATTATCAGACACCCCTCGAGAGCACCGGATCCTCAGCTTCCCGAATTTACGCGCAGCTGCAGTAGTTTCTGTAACTTTCATATCAATATTAAAAACTCTGAGTTTTATCTAGATTCAAACGCAGATCATTGGCGCAGGTGCCATAACTCTATTACAACTACAGTTGAATTTATCTAAGTTTAGCCTAAAAGTTGTTACAACTACTTCTAAAATAATAAGAGACAAAACAAAACAAAATAATACCCTAACTCTTGACGGAGGAATTTATTCAATAATCTGTAATGATTGCCACAAAGAATACATAGGAGTGACTCTATTGGTAGTATGAAATTAGGATTAAAAGGGTTCATGTGAAAACCCCGTATAGGAATTGGAGAGGTGGAAAGGTTATAAACGTTCAAATGAAAACATGAATTGAAATATGAACATAGAAAAAAAAAGTGAGATTTTGATTTCAAAATATTATTTGAGAAATTTAGAAATGTAGCTTGCTCGTCGGCCAAGAGGCAGATGAAGTTGTTATAAATCGTAAGTCGATAATGTAAGCAATCTGAAACATGGTTTTGTAAACAAGCAAAGTGGGCAAAGTTTTTAATCTGTCATATTGAAAAGTCGACAACAAAGATAATTATTTGACATCAGGAAGATGGAAAATAATTTATAAACACAAAGTTTGTTATCGAAAAATTATTGTTTTGGATAAGTATTGTCTTCAGAATATAGAAAGGAAAGATAAACAAAGTTTGTTGTCGAAGAATGTATTGTTTTGAATAATTGATGGCTTTGTCTGAAGGTCAGTATCGGTTCTTCAAAATTGGAGAGATAAAATAATTAATTGATATGAATATTGATGAATCCTGAGGTGCGGTGACAGTCGTGCAAAATACATATAAACAGAGCGCTTAAGCGAGCAAGCAATTGAAGCGAGAAATAGCAAGAGACGCAAAGGAGACGCAACAGCAGTGGATAAACGAGCTTCTGAACCCCACGTTTCCTGCTGTCGAGAAAATTCCCGGTCGACGTCTTTCTTCGTTGTTTTTTAACCCACTCCAAGTTTTACAAGAAAAAGACAAAGTGTCACGGTAGAGAGTTTAACAGGAAGATTTATTTTTGTTGTATCAAAAACTGTATAAGCCAATTTGCAAATTAACCCGTCGACCTTCTTTTTATGTTATTTTTATTTTCGCCGGCGAAAACGTTCTTTGTCCTTTTATAGCATATTTTCACCGCGGTTCGGCCCAGCGCCCAAGTTCGGACAAAATTCGATCTTCACTGCTCGGTGATCAAGGAACACAACGGGGGCAGAAGCAGATGAAGGAAATTTTTGATGATTGTTGCGGCAGGGAAGCAAGAAACTAGAGGTGAGTTCCACAAACGAGAAATGAAACTATTATAATAAAAGTTACGGTTGCACCTAGCTATTTCAACAGTAAAACGGTGAGACCTATCTGCCAATCTAGTAGTACGCTTTGATTCATGCGGTCAAGATACCAAGCAGAAGACGACAACTATCATGAAAATATTTTATAGAAAAGACAGAAAGAAGCTGCATCAGTTCGCTAGAAAAATGACCGCAGTCGAGATGCCAAGTTAAGAAGAAGAAGAAAGAAGAAGAAGAAGAAGAAGAAGAAGAAGAAGAAGAAGAAGAAGTCAAATTAGTGGCAATTTCAATCTGGTTATGAAAGAGAAGAGACAGGCGGGATGTAACAAACCTGTTGCTGCTCTATTACTACTTTCACGGAAAATGTTCGGACGAACTATATTCCTTGGTTCCGCCAGGCTTAACCTTCACGGCAAGGACTCGCCACACCCCTTACATTGTAAGAAACACCTACATTCGCACCGTATACCGGCGGTGATAAGTTTCACTCGAAAAGCTTCTTTCTGCGAACCACTGCTCAGTGAAAACCACTCCCAAGTGGATATTTCCCTGATCACTATCTTAACCGTTACCTTCTTATCGTATCCATACAAACTGGCTCCTAACGTAACCTCTACCTCGAGTGAACCCTGGGCCTTGTACAGGGTGGACTTTACTGCAGAAAAAAAAATAAATGGTCCGCCACATTTGTACAGTCTAACCTGGTCGCCGCCATTTGGTTATTTTCGACATAGCCTACTTCCGATGATTACCACTGCTATAATTCAACAAAAAAAAGGAAAAAAGGGGACATTACCATTTGTACATTTTACCAGTGCACAAAAATATCAGAAAAAAGGGGGTGCTGCAAAAGAGAATTTTAATAATCACAGCATTAAGCGATTGAGCTATTCACAGGAAGAGATAGATTAACGCTTTCACCTCATTGAGAAAATTTATTTTTGGTAATTGATCCTTTTGACATTGTCACCATTTCATTTTCAGTTCGATTATTTTGAGGTGGAATTACATTGATTTCTTTAACAGGACAGTTCCTTGTCACAAAGACACTAATTCGATTTATATTATTGTTCACCCAATACTAGGCCTAAGAGCCACTCGATATAGAGTGTTACTGAGTGAGGTTGTTGTAAAGGTCAAAAGAAATGAGAGATTAAAGGAGTGGATATAAAAAGAGAACGGTTGTAATAATTCGATCAATCACTATCTATCTATCTATCTATCTATCTCTGTATGTTCATATTTATCTATCTATCTCAGTCTGTTCATATCTATCTATCTATCTATCTATCTCAGTCTGTTCTAGCTATCCCAGTCTACTGAGATATATAGCTACATCCATCTGTCATTGTTCCTTATCACAAAGACAGTCACTATCTATCTATCTATCTATCTATCTATCTATCTATCTATCTATCTATCTGTTCATATATATAACTAGCTATCTATCTCAGTCCGCTGAAATAGATAGCTACATCTATCTATCTGTGACAGTTCCTTGTCACAAAGACACTAATTCGATTTTATTTATATTATTGTTCACCCAATGCCATGTCTAAGATCCACTCAACGTAGAGTTTTACGGAGTGAGGTTGTTATAAAGGCATAAAAGGAGGAAATAAATTACATATTATGGGCATTTGTAGGATAGATAACTGTTGTCCCTAGACTTGAAGAGGTTAAGATCGTAGTGAGGAGTCTGTCGCACAAAGTAACAGTTCTGGGTAATGAACTGTCATGAATACGAAGAGAATGAGGATGATTTCACTGTGTGTGTGGCATGGCGGGTTCTTGATGAGAATATCTGAACCGGTGGAACGAATTAATGTAGTTCATCTGAAGATTTGTCTTGAAAACGGCAATAGCTAGGAAGACGTTATCAACGTTTCGTCTGGATGGAGAATAATTCATTACTTCCAAGGCCGCGTAAACGCTTTCGAACTCCATCAAGTCTAGAAAAAGAGAATTGGCCAGCACAGCTCAGATATGGTAGGTCTGCGGAGGAGGAATTGGATACTTTCTTTAATATTAAAAGGAACATTTGCAGCATCTAACCCTTAACCCTTAACCTTGTCTCCTGGATTAAATCTTTTTGACAAAAGGTTATACAGTTCGGCTTCAAAACTGTCAGAAATCGTAGGAACGGAGAGTAAGGTTTGGGAATGGAAGACATTAAACCATCTTTGTGCAAAAGAATGATAAAAATGAAAAAATGTCAATTAATGGTAAGGAACGAGCGGACAGACGTGAAAGTGTTGAAAAATTAAAAAAAAAAGTGTTTTGATTCGAGAATTGATAGAAGATAGAGATATAGTAACCATAGTAATAGCAGTTTAAGACTTTCACTAACCGAATAACCAATATTACTTAAGTTACGCTTTTCTTCATTCTGGGTTCAAATTACTTCCATTTTCTTCAGGTCTAATGGTAATTATCCGTTTCAGGATAAAGAAATATTCGAGATTTATTGAACGTGAAGCCAGTGCTATATTTGACTCATATTCATAAAAGCTTTCTATTAAAACAATTTTATGAGAAAGGGTTTCTCAAGTTCACTGTTATTGCTCTTTCCAGTATCGATGAAGGTTTTCTTAGGAAATCCTCCTCATTTTCTTCGACGTGCTGAGGAACGTCAACGTCTTGATTATGTTATTATTTCCTGCTTTTGCAGAAAGTCCTCCTGTAGAGCCACTTGCTAAGACCTACAGGTTTCATTCTCTCGAAGCCATTTGAGAAAGCGGTTCTATGCAGCTGACACTTTACATATTTCCGAACGATGTTGTTGCCATGATTGACATCGATATGAAAGTCTCAATCACGGTTACTTAATAAAATGATTCGGGTTTTGGTTTATTGTTTTGGTTTTGTAGTAACTTGCGGTATTGTGTGAAACTATCCCTAGCACAGCCTATTCTACGTTCACTTTCCTATTCTCCAATAGTAGATTTGTTATAACTGATCCCTACGAAAAGGCATTTTAAATATTTATTAATGCCACATTTATGACGGATTTAGGGTAGGTGCCATATCTTGTTTTTAAATTCATATTCCAATATAAAGAAGTAGAAGAGCATCACTCCAGTTAAAAAGAGGGAGAGAGAAAGAGTAAGAAAAATTAACATTGTAGAAGAGAAAGTGATTCTTAGTGTCGGGTTGTGTTTAACTAGCTGGCCTAGAAATTCTTTGAGTTAAAGAGGTCAATCCTCACCTGGGACAACCTTGCAAAAACGGTTGACTGGCCTTGAGCCAAAGGTAAAGGTAAGCTAAATGCTCTCGCAGATCATTACCATTTATTTACCCCCCCCCCCACACACACACACAACTGGGTACCCAAGAATCTTTTTAATTATCGCTTATCAAGAATACCAGAGGCCGATGCTGGAGTTTTATTTACTCCGATCTCACATCTGAGACGAGATGAGATGTCACACAAGGTCGGGTCTAATGTGGGGAAACCGAGCGCGTACACTGGGGCCATGGACAAAAATTTTACCCCCACCCCCGTCTATTATGCTGGCATCGGTATAACTACCGATGCCCCCACTTCTCTAGATTGATGCTGGGTAATGTTAAAATGGTTATATTGCTGATTTAAAGAGACAGGTAAGCAGAAGTTAAGCAACGTCGAGCCTGGTTAGTACCTAGATGGGTAAACGCTTGGGAATAACAAGTGCTGTAAGCATGGATATGCGGATGGTGTAATTGATTAGAGTTCAGTATTGTTAACCGGAGGGTCAAGTTCAAATTTCTGATGGCTTCGTTATATTCACTTACACGCAAATATCCTTAGGAAAAGTATGAATACACCCTTTCTCCCTCATTTATGGGTTAATTAGTAACACGTGTATCACGAAGCCATTATTATCTCCAAAATATATTCTTACAATCTAAAAATATTTAATTTTTTAAATAACCTGTAAAGGGTTGATAAAACGTAAAAAATGAATCAATCAAACTTAACCGACATAATCTTACAATCCTTTTTCCGAAAATGGAGTATTACTGTCACATCTGGTCTGGCGCTGCTCAATCCTCACAATCAAGCCTTGACAGAGTTCAAAATCCTTTACGTCATCTTGTGGGTAATGACGTTTTCCATTCTGCAGCCTCATTCCCCAAAGTCACAAGCCCATCGTTAATCTATCGTTATTTCTATAGCAAACGTTCAGATGAACCTCGTCTTTTAGTTCCACCAGTTCAGATCTTAATAGTTAGGATACGCCATGATACTTCCCCGGAGTTGAATCGTCTTTATTTCTTCCGTATTCCAAATCTAAGAAGGACGTTCTACTTAAATAGGCTTTTTCCCATGAACTGTAAATTGGCTTAATAGACTCCCTTGTGGATGCTTCCTTGAACACTACAGTCCTAATCTCTTCACATAAAAGTCAATCGTTATCTCTTCTCCTTCTCATAATCTTCACTGCCTACTAACTCCTCTTACATTCATATCATGAACTTCATGCAATGACACTCGACCGTGAGTGGATGTCTAGCATTGTATCTGGTGAACGTCATAAAAAAAAATCTCTTTTAACTGGTAGCATTTCGATAATAAAAAAATCTGTAAAATCTAGAAAGACACTTCTTAATGCTGCAGTGAAGACAGGAGGGTTTGACCAACTTAACGCCGAATAACATTTAGTACAAAACAAAATGAAAGATAGAATCAAGAAAAAGTAAACATACTCAAGATGTGTTAAGATAGGCGAGTTTCAAAGTTATTTCTAGTAACTTTTCAAACTTCATAGATTTCAAACTCCTGTCTTTTCTACGATTATTTTCATGGCAACTGCTCTGACGAGCTACTTTCACTGGTTCCCAAACTGCATGAATTTAAGCGTGCTACTAGGTTGGTATCCCGGTCCTTACCTTTCACTGTCGAAACGGCTAAATGTCTCTTCTATTCCAACAGATTCTTTTCTCACACTTCTCGACAGTGGAATTCCCATCCCCTTACTTGCTTTTCTGATAGCTATAATCTTCAAATATTCAAATGCAATGTCAATCGACATCTGATTCCTTGATCTTGATCTCCGTCCTTCTCCATATCCTTTCCTCAAACACCCCTCTTTACATTTGCTATCACTCTCTGTAACCCGTTCCATGCTAGTGACACTCCCGCCTTACTTGGGGTGACATGCTTAAAATAAATTACGTGGTCTTGGAGGGTAGATTCATATATGCCATTTGGTCACATCTTTCACGCAGATGCAACGTCGCAAGCCTGTAGCTATCCTATCGCTATTTTCAGAGCATTTATTCAGAGGAATTCCATTCTTTAATTCTACTCTTAGACTGCTTTTTTTTTCTGGTCCCCAAATTATCATCAATACGCTTGTTTACTTAAATAGAAGTTATCAGTTTCCTATGTTCTCTAAGGACGTTTCATTAAACGACACTATTGATCAGACCTGAAAGCTTTTGACGATTGTTAATGGTTTCTTCAGCTGTTCATTAAACGAGTCAGATGAATATCTACATGAACGAATGGAGCTGACATTATGCTTTGGCTTACAGCTTTTGTTCGGGTCTAGCTTCTGTGCAAGAGTAAGGCTACAGTTGATATCTTTTCTAACCAATCAGAAACAAGATTCTTTCAACCATTTAGGAATACTCACAACATTTCGAACCTTGTACCGTGCTGCATATGTCTGTCTTAGTAATTTCGTAATTTTGAACCGAACACTTGACAGGGCTAGCTTGTTCCAATTCTGTTTTTCCATACTTAGGAGATATGTTGCGTTGTCAATCAATTCGTCAAAATCAATTCCAAACCCTCTTCACTTATTATCTGTTCGAGAAATTTCAACTGCTTCTTCCTGATCTTATGTATAAGTTCCTTTTTTGTTTTCATTTTCTCCAAAACCTCGTTGTTGCTCATATATTTTGTCGATGGCATCATCAGCATCCATCTGTAGAACCACATTTCTGTTGCTTCAAGTCTCTTCGGCTTTGAGCAGATTTTCCACCATTCACTGATATATAGGAGGATAGGTATGTAGTTTGTCGGCTTCTTCCATTAAATTAGTATACTGACCCAGTAACCCACCAGGCTACATTTATCGGGGACAAAATGTACAACGCTAAATTGTGTATTAGCTTAATGTGCACAGGTTGCAATATAAACGGTGGACAGACAGTACTTTGATTCCATTTTAACATACTGTATCTCCTCTTTGGTCATTAATACAGACATGTACTCATGCATGTATACAATAAAATAGCAAACACCACCCTATAATAAATTATCCACGCCCCTCTTAATAGTCGGAAGTGACCTAAATGAATGAATCAAGCGTCGGACCATTATATTTCTTAAATATTGAATGAGGATGTGGTATGATTGTTGTAGAAGACTTTGCAGAATATTACGAATAACATGGTTACTCTTTAAGATGAAACAGCACGTTATGGAATTATCCCCCACTTGCTTGCCAAAGCACTTCAGCTAACGACTGTTATATGACATTACCAAAGCTATATATGAAGAAAAGAGAGCAAGAATTTAATTCTCAACCGGATGTCTTTCACACAAGAATGGGAGAATGGATGGCTTTTGTTCACCAGCGAACCTCATATCACATTGCATACAACACAGAAATTACAGAACAAACACATACGCTAAGCTTAATTAATTGCACACAGGCATATCTAATATTTATTGTTGTCACATCTTGTCTAGTGCTTCTCCTATATATTATCTAGTGGTTCTTGACAACATCCAAAGTATAATCTGTAATCATATCGCTCCTGACATGGCACCTCGGTTTCAAACACACTCCCGCCCCCGTAATCTAGCTTTCATGTGCATTTTCCATAGATATCCAAAACCTCGTTATTGCTCACATATTTTGTCGATGGTATCATCAGCATCCTTCTGTAGAACCACATTTCTGTTGCTTCAAGTCTCTTCATCTTTAAGCAGATTTTCCACCATTCACTGATATATAGGAGGAGAGGTATATACTTTTTCGAATCCTTACACTAATTTAGTATACTGACCCAGGAACCCACTAGGCCACGTTTATCTCGGAAAAAATGTACAATACCAAGATATCCATGGAAATTGTTCTGATGAATTTTCCTCTTTGGTAACTCGACATTATGAATTTAAATGCAGTACAAGATTGGCTATAGAAAAAAAATTCTAACTAAAATCCAAAGAAGCGTTAAAAGTGTCAGATACCTTTCCGAACCTCTGAACGAGTCCATGTTCAGCAACAATACAAATGTAGAAAGACGTGTTCCTGTGTTTTATAGATTACGCAATGGCTTTCTATAAAGTACGCCACAAAGATCTGTTGAAACTGCTCAGCAACCTTGACATATTTGGGAAGGTTATTAGATTAATCAAGAACCTATACTGGCAGTAAACCGCCTGCATACGGATAAAAAATGAGTTCAGCAGATATACAAAAATAGAAAATGGTGTAAGACAAGGATGTGTCTTCTCTCCGGACTTATTCAAACTTTTCATCGAGATGATTCTGAGAGAATTAAAAGGTCTTATCGAGATTCCTTATTTGGGGGCCACAATCTTAATGACATAAGATATGCAGATGACACAGGGTTGATAGCATACAAGAGAAAAGAAAACAGATTGTAGTGAACGAAAGCGAGAAGAAAGAATAAAAAAAATCAATGGCAAGACACAATGCATGATTATTAGCAAAAAGATAAGCCCGAAATGAAATTTTCAAATCGGAGATGCCAAAACCAAACAAGTACAAAAAATTAAATATCTGGGAACTGTTTTTAACAGAGGACAGATAGTGCAACACTGACACCCGAAGGCGCATTGGGATAGCCAAAGATAGATTCCAAAATTCAAGAAGAGTAATAAGAAACAGAAAAACTTCGTTAGAAACAAAGAAAACAGTACTGAACTGTTACGTGATATATGTCCTCTTATATATCTGTGAATGCAGGAATATTTCCTCAAAGACGAAGGAACTTGAGGCAACAGAGATGTAGTTCTACTGAGAATACCATGAAAAAATATGTGAGCAATGGCGAGGTGTTGGAGAAAATGGAAATAAAATGAATGTTATGCTTAACATCAAGTAGAGATAGTTGAATTTTCTTGGAAGCATAAGGAAAGAGAGCTTGGAAAATCTGATGCTCACAGGACAGATTGGATGGCAGAACAGGGCTTAGGAGAGATAACAGAAAGATAATTTATTAAAAGCTATAAAGGACGGGAAATTGTGGTGAGCTATGGCCGCCTACGTCCTGATGGCACACAGCACATAAAGAAGAAGAAGAAGAAGAAGAAGAAGAAGAAGAAGAAGAAGAAGAAGAAAACTAGACTAGACTGGCAGTTATGTCTCATCTTTCACTGTTGAAATTGCCAGATGTAGCAGAAAGTTTTATTCAAATAGTTTCTTCTCACACGGTTCTCGTCCGGAGAATTATCTTGCTTTCATGTCAACTAAAATCTTCAAAAATTTCAATACATCTTCATTTGCAATTTTCTCTCTCTTGGAACCATCTTCTTTTATTGTCCTTTCTTCTTGATGCTGTTCACTCAGTTACTTTTATTCCCACAAACCCTTTACATCTTAGTGGCTTTATCGCATTGCTTGAAGATAAATTATTAAAGAAAGAGATTTACCAAACCACTAAATACGTCTTCTCAGACGTAAGTCTTTCAGAATCTTTCATGGGAATCCCTTACATATGTGCGTACTATAAGGAAATCTATCGTCATAGATATATACCTTCACTTACCTCTTCTGTATTCTTTCTGTATATTTTACTTTATTAATAATAATGAGAAACGACATCACTTTCCTGTGGCAGGAATAACCGTACAACGGGTGGAACAATGTTCCTGACGATTCTCAACGGTTTTTCTTGACACATCTGTCGCTAGATTTGCAATGAGCTTTTCTGTGGAGACCGTGTACTCTGCCACTACTATTGTAACAATGCGTCGATCGTGATGAGCATCAGAACTACAATACCGTTCAAAAGATGGTCTACGGATTTAGCTCCGTTGCACATATGGGAGCACCGCCGGCGCATCGTTTGGATTAAATCTCCGAAATAACCATACAGTCACCGTGATAGGAAACCTGGTGACACTAGAACTTTTCTCATCACTGAACATTATTGCAGGAAACGTCATGTACTTAAGTTAAAAGGGGGCGGTGTACTGTTATAAATGTGAGAAGGTTAGGAAATGGGTGAAGAAAATTCTGTCCACTAATGCCTCAGTATGGAGTTTCTGTAACCAGTTCGAAATCGGTATAATTATCGTCTTAACTAGTGTTGTAACTTAATTTTCCGGAAGTACATAGTCATTAAGATATCAGATAAACAGAATATCTATCTCTCAGTCTGTTTTATCTATCTATCTATCTATCTATCTATCTATCTATCTATCTATCTATCAGTCTGTTTTAGCTCTCTTTTCAAATCTATCCATCTGTTTTCGTCTGCTCAAATCTATCTATCTATCTATCTATCTATCTATCTATCTATCTATCTATCTATGTGTTCAAATCTATCTATTTTCGTTTGCTCAAATCTATCTATCTATCTATCTATCTATCTATCTATCTATCTATCTATCTATCTTCATCTGTTCAAATCTATCTATCTATCTATCTATCTATCTATCTATCTATGTCTGTTTTATCTATCTATCTATCTATCTATCTATGTCTGTTTTATCTATCTATCTATCTATCTATCTATCTATCTATCTATCTATCTATCAGTGGAAGTCTGTCACAGTTTCATAAATGGATTCTGCGTATCTCATTTCTTATGTACCGCAGAGGAAGGTCATGAAATCAATTGTGTGGGTCACTTCCTGGCAAGTCCACCTGAAACAAACTCATGCCACGGGCACTTTCTTCTTCTCTGAGTTTCTTTCACCTTCAACCAACTCTTGAAAATTCAAACGGCGATAGGTAATGGATCACGGAAGCAGATATTAGTGAAACTGAAAGCATGTGGTCCTGAATCTGCACGTTGGCTGTGAATGTAGTCATCATCAGCATCATCATAAAGGAAGCAAACCAGCAAAGAAGAAATTTAATTCTTGGATACGAGATAAAGCCATCAACGACGACAAGATATCTCTCTCTCTCTCTCTCTCTCTCTATATATATATATATATATATATATATATATATATATATATATATAAATTTATATATATAATATATATATATATATTATATATATAATATATATTATATATAAATTTATATATATATGTGTGTGTGTGTCTGTAAGTGTGTGTGTGTGTGTGTGTGTGTGTGTGGTATTACTATACACACTATATTTAGTGATTACACGTGATTGAGCAGACATTCCTTTCTCCTAAAGAAGGAAATTAATGTCTACCAACATAAATCAAAAGTTTATTTATATTTTCTGTCAGGAAAATACTTTTAAGTCAAGCATGCTTTGCAAATTAGGCCACAACAAGCCATCATAATAAAGAAGGAGTCAATAACCTTATCCAAATGGGACTGTATACATCTATTTTTGTATTCGTAACGTAAACAAAGTAAGTTTTACATTTAATAATCCTTTTTTAAACTGACCTTATTTATTAATACGATGTCTGATCAAAAGTTTTCCTACTTGGTGATATAAAAAGAAAACTACAGCACGTATCAGTTCGGTATTTAATCTCCTTCGAAATAATCCCCTACTGAAGCTGTAAACTTTATCCACTGTCATTTCGTTTGATGAGATAACCAGCAGCTTCTACGTCGCATTCTCTTGAAAATCCTGTTCCTTGAAATCCTGTTCCTTGAAAGGGATTTGATTTTGGAAGAAAAAAAATGTCGCAAGCAGCGTGATTTTGGTAATATGGTGAATTTGGGGAATGTTGTAATTGGTCAAAAACCGCTGCAGAAGCAATAGACACTAATGGAAGCTCTGTGGCTTGGTGTGACGACCACACTCTACACACTTTCCTTCCAAGCATTGTCATACACAAAGGAATTGATTAAAAACGTAATAATTTAGTGTGTATTCGCAATAGGGCTCAAGGTCGATATGTGCCAGGCAGTTTGACACTGCGTACTTTAGCTCCATTACCATAGCAACAAAGTGATCAAAAAAAGTTCTAATGACGCGCTTTCATGTGTGTGTGTATGTGTGTGTGCGTATGTGTGAGACAGACAGAGAGTGTTGTCGCGATTTGGCCAGACAAGAAATAGAGAATTATATAACTGCGACAAAAGTTTTGATGACCCCTTTCGACCCCGCTTATACAAAGCGTTGAACGGAAGTGACAGAAAAGAAGGCCAACATACACCAACATATAGACATAGAGAAAAACACATTAAAAAGAGGTTAGAAATTTTTACTTAGCAAATAAGCGTATGGTAATATAATACTATGATCATTTTTGCATAATTTAGCTTGTTTTTAAAGAAAATTATCTGACCAATAATAGGAAAAAATTACCATAGCATTAAACTTTATTCGTGTTTCATAATTTATTTATTTTTTACTCAGGTTTTATATTTCTGCGATTAAAAATAAAGATGCGTATATTTATGACAAATTTTAGTTAGATGCTAAAATACTTTTTAAACCTTATATTATACATAAAGTAAGATTTGTTAAAAATGATAACGAACCAGAATACGTTTGTCGCTAATGTGATTTTGAGTTGGGTAAAGCGGTCTTTGAGTCGGCGTGGAGAGATGTTACCTAGAAGTATTACTATCGAGGGCACCTCGAGGCGGTGTAATGGTTAGCAAGCTTGTCTCACTAGAACAATTAAGACTGAGTAGTGAGTTCGATCCTCTCTGGGTGCTCTATACTTTCGGCCTTGTGCCACATCTGAGCTACGCTTGGAAAATCACTATAAGGATTACTATCGTAAATTCTGTTCATACCATTTTCACAAACGGGAATCGTAATTTTCTGGTGAGGGTACGGTCACCCCCTATTTACGGGTCTCAGACTGAGTAACACTAACAACTCCGCCTCTCATATATATTGCATGACTTTTCGACCAAACTAATGAATATTTACGAGCGTTCGTAACTAAGTATCTATGAACACAAAACAGATCTTATATACAACTTATCAAATGCATTAGTTATACATAAAAATAAATAGAACCACATATTTGATGTAAAGAATGCCACACTTATTTAAAGAGAAAGTAACTTATTTAGAAGGAAAATTCTCGAGAGTGCCGCTATCGAATTATTTTAAAATATAAATCTGCGTCACGGATTTTTTTTCAAATATCTCCATTCCTGAAAGAATTACAACTTTTCCAAGCCAACATACATAATTATAAAAATCTTAAAAAATTAAATGATAACAGTTAAATTTTCAACCTGATGTTATTTAAAATATATAGCATATCAATTAATCCTAAACTAAAATAATTTAATTATTAATTTGCATTAAAAACAACAACAACAACAACAACAACAAAAAATCACTTTCAAAAACATCACTTATTCATTTTGGATTATTAGACATTGAATTGTGTCACTTTTCATCCTCCATAGCTTGTCTGGCTATTCACCCAACCTGATGAATATTTATGAGCGTTCTTAAAAATCTTTTTAAAACCTTTAACATAATATATAAATACTTGTTCCAAAATAAAATGTATGCACATTTGCACATTTTTGAGATCGTCAGACAAACTCAAGCGTGAAACCCAGGGTCACAAACTCACATAAATCCAAGCAAATATATATATATATATATATATATATATATATATATATATATATATATATATATATATATATATATATATATGCTCCTGAAAAAATTAATTTCAGTTGAGCACTCTGGGGAAGAGGTGTCGGTTTGTAAACGGTGACTATTATGGCTGATATAGCGAGACTCTTCGGCAAAAGCGAATTGAGTCACTGTCAGTCACTGTGTGTGTTTATCTAAAAATAAATACGCTAAAATTCACCGACGGCTTAGTGGTAGAATCTCCGACTGACACCATTTCAGTCGGGTTTCGATCCTAGCTAGAGGCATCCGGATGTCTAGCCATACTGAAGAGCTGTGAAACAGCGAAACAGACTGTCTGTGGATGACTTTATATATATATATATATATATATATATATATAGAGAGAGAGAGAGAGAGAGAGAAAGAAAACATGAAGAAAAAAAAAAATGAGATATCTGACGATAAGTTCAGTAGGACGAACGAATGGCGTATGCGTGAATCGTCAAATCAGAAGATAAATGTTATGAATAATCAAGAGTGATCTCCCTTTGTTTCGCTACTCTCCCCTTTGAAAGAGCTATTTCTGTTTACTGAGAGTATAAAAGGACACTGTATTCGAATCTTTTATTCACAGTTGAATAAAGCTTTCTTAAAGTTTACACCTGCGTACTTTTGTCACTATAACAAATAGACATTTTATTTTATATAATTTTATACACACATACATATATTATTTTATTTTTATTTTTTCATTATATAATATATATATGCTTCTTTTTCGTTATCTCTATGCATCTATCAGTCTCTCTCTCTCTATATATATATATATATATATATATATATATATATATATATATATCATGATAAACTGACACGGAGAAAGAAGCCGGAAAGAAAACTATATTGTTAAAGATTCATATGAGCAGACAAAATTATTCTGCGAAAACTAAAAAAGCCGAGATAAGAAAAAAAGTCTGTTTCCTTTTAGAAACGCTGGGATTTTCAGACGAAAGTATTAAGTCAAAAGCGACCGGATAGGAAAATAAATGTGTGATTCAATGGAGAGATTTCTAAACTGCGTAGACTTGTTTTTTTCGACTGACTGCATCTTCAGAAGGTGCTTAAAGAAAAAGCAGAACGTATATTAATCTCAAGAGTGAAATATCTCGCATCGACTCATTTATTTGCACATTTCCGTATAGGGAATATGATTACCGGCATGGAGCAGAGACAAATGTTTTTTTTTTTTTTTTGGGATTGGGGTGACAAAATGTTTAGAACTTAGCCTTAAGTTATCAATGGCCGCCGACATGATTAGCGGCAAGAACATTTAAAAATTCTAGTAAACTTAGGATGTCAGATATTTCGTAGGTTTTTGCCATAAATTATTTAGCCGCTGGACCGTCATCATCCGGTGTTTTTCAGCCGGAGTTAGTCTTTTCGTTTTGTTCCTCATTTTATTTGAGAGATAAATATATAGAGAGAAAGAAAGTGAAAGGTTGAAAAAGAGATAAGGATTTTAAGGGAAAGCAAATGTTTTGTTTTATATTTTATTCTTTTCTATTTGTTTATACATTTTTACTTTTATATTTTATTTCGTTTTATTTTATTGGATTCACCACAATTACAAATTAAAATGAAAACACACCCACACGATAAAGGGAAATTACCATCATCGTACACCTTTAAAGAAGAATTTTTTCATCGAGTTTTTATTAAAGTTATATTTTTCCTTGCTTTGACAGTTGTTTTTTATCTTGTATTTCTTTATTGTATTTTGTTAAAACAAAACCCCGTAAAAACATACTACAGTTGCTAAAGATTTGGGGGCTGCTACGGCCCTTAATTAGCATAGGAACCAAACCAAAAATCAGGAATTAAGTATAGATTCAGTTTTCTTACGGTCCATTTTGGTGGTGTCTCAGTTTGGGAGTGAGTTCTTCAATTCTTTCGTAGGCGTAGACGATGCCAACTTTCCACGTCCCAATGATTATACCCTGCGTTGGTAGCTTGATGGGTCGTTTATCGCTTCTGTCACCCACT